GGTCATGATCCCAGGGTCCTGGGATCGAGTCCCACATCGGGCTCCCTGCTCGGTGGGAAGCCTGCTTCTCCCTCTCCCACTCCCCCTGCTTGTGTTCCCTCTCTCCCTGTGTCTCTGTCAAATAAATAAAATCTTTTAAAAAAAAAGTAGAAAGCATAAGGCTGACTATGATACAGTCAGGGTTTGTATAGATATTTTTTGGTAAGGAATAAGAGATACATTCCAGTTTTTCTGGGTACCAGCCTGCATTTCTTGTGTACCATATCCTTTTTCAGGTATTTGAGTACAGTATCCCGGACAAGCAGTATACAGAGTGGAGCCGGACCATCCAGAAGCAGGGCTTTCATTACCTTTGGCTCCAGAGGGATACTCCCATCACACACATCAGTTTTCATCCCAAGAGACCAATGCACATCCTTCTCCATGATGCATACATGTTCTGCATCATCGACAAGTCATTGGTAAGTTCCTCACCATTACCATTTTGTGCTCACCTGACTTTTCTGTACTTAGGAATTTTCAAGTTCTAAAGCAACAAGTACAAAGAGAAATGAGGATCAGAATAAAATTTCCTGACCTATTATTTGGAGGAGAGGAGTTTTTTGCAAATTTCCTCATTTTCATTCCTAGGCCCCTGAGGCTCCCAGGGTAGGGACAGGCCTTTGTGTCCTGGTTTTTGCTGATTTGAGGATTTCTCTGCTTTGCCTGTGAACATAAAAACTTAAATAGGAAAGTGATTAGGTCAGTATTCAGAAGGTAACCCTCATGGAGAATACCATTGATTTGGCTGAATCACTTTCACCTTTGCACCTTGGGGTGACTGAATAACATAGTTTTATTATTAAAGGAGACACAGGCTGAGGTTTTAACCACTTTTTCCCCTTGCCTGAAAATGCTGAAACAGTATCTGTAAGCTTGAAGAGTTGGTCTTAACGTCTTGAAAAAAGTCCAGCCTGGGGCACCTGGGTGGCTCAGTCTGCTTTCGGCTCAGCGGGGAGTCTACTTCTGCCCCTCCCTTCAAATAAATAAAATCTTAAAAAAAAAGAAAAAAAAAATTCCATTCTTCATGGCTGTGATTTAGGTGGGATGTGAGCATCTTTTTCAGTTCTAGATTCCAGCCTCTACCAGCTGCTGTTTTGATTCACCGCAATTTCCCTGTCTTCTCTGGACAGGTAGTTGTTTCCTAGGAGCAGTATTAGCTGTGGCCATGCCTGTAATGCACTTTGGGCTTAGATTACAACCAACCCGCAGGGCTTTGGTCTATCTGTGAGGGTGGGGGTGGAAGGAATTGAGGGGAAAGCAGCAGATGGGTCTCAAGGAGGTGGGCATGATGTGTCATTGGAACTCATCTCGCAGGCCCTGTGTCCTCTGGGCGTGGGAAACAGAGCTGGCTGACAAGCGCCTTCTGCAGGATGAGTGATACAGGAAGGGCCCCTCCCACTCGCTTGCCTCTTTGTAACTCAGCCCAGGGCTGTCCATATTTTTTTGTCATGCATTGGTGATAAGTCCATCACTTCCTCATGCTGGGCAGAGCTATTTCCCAAGGAAGTCAGAGATGAAATATCACTTGCTTGGCCAGAGGCCATTTTTCGAGGTGTCAGTGAGATCAGTGGGGGTGGTTTGTGTTTCGGTTTTGGCCTGGGGAGAACTTTAGTCACTTGGCCTGTCTGTGATCTGGTTGGGGGAATAGTCTAGAAAGCAGAGCCTCATGGGCTAAGTTCCTGCACATGCCAGTTTGTTCCTGTCTCACAAAGTATTACTGACAAGACTGGCCAGAAGCCCCAGCTGGGCCCTTTGATCTTGCTGGACTAGAGTACCACGCTTTTTGCTTCATACTCCTGTTCTCTACAGTATAGCTGGAAAAGTGGCTACGGCTTTCTTCCTCAAGTAAGGAGAGTCATGTCTAATATGATGGTTGAAAGGGTGGTGTTTGCCTGAAAAATCACTATAGTCCTTTGTTCTGGAAAAGCCCAATAAAAATAACGATTTAAACAGTATGTCTTTGTCTTTTTAGCCTCTTCCAAATGACAAAACCTTACTCTACAATCCACTTCCTCCCACGAACGAATCAGATGTTATCAGGAGGCGTACCGCCCATGCCTTTAAAATTTCTAAGATATATAAGGTAAAACATCTTACATTATATTCTAGATGGTTCCTTGGGATATTATCAAAATGTAACAAGCTCCATAATAGGCAGACAAGAGCACCTTCATTTTATATTCAGAAAACCTGGTTTGGGTAGACAGGTCCCTTTCTGAGGATGTCTGTTCCTATGTTTGCATTTCATTATTCTTGCTTAAGTATATTAGAGGCATGTACATCATACTTACCCAAAATGAAATACATAGGTAGTGAGAAATTATGTTGGAGCTTGGGTGGTATCTTTGTGTCGAAGCTGGCCTTTAAATGTGACTTCTAATTGGAGAATGTTCCACAAGATAAATTTCAAGCAAGTGGAAGTCATTGAATTTATTGTGACTTCCCTTTCTGGGCTAAGCTTTTCACTGTATATGAAATAAATATTCATTAAGCTTATGATACTGCAAGCTATTTGTGCCAACTTGGAAGTTCCATATTCATGCTTTTCAGATTAGAGTTCCTTGGGTGTCCTGGAATATTTTCTCAGGGGTCTGTAAGAATTTTATTTTTTTTTAAAGAGGGACATCTGTAAATTATTTAAGTATGATTAGTTTCTTACTGCATTTGTAGCTTGCTGTTTTCCAAGAATTCAGGCTCCAAAGCCATTGGTTAACACTGATTCCTAAGAAATTAGAGAACAAATGTTCTGTATAGAAAAACATGAAAAATCTTGTTGAAATCTTTTATTACTGAATTCAGTTAAAAGTTCCCAACCTTTGGGTGCCTGAATGGCTCAGTCGGAAGAGCATGTGACTCTTGATCTCAGGATTGTGAGTTTGAGCCCCACATTGAGTATAAGGATTTAAAAAAAAAAAAAAAAAACTTTAAAAAGATAAGTTTTGGGGCGCCTGGGTAAAGCGTCTGCCTTTGGCTCGGGTCATGATCCCGGAGTCCTGGGATCGAGCCCCACATCGGGCTCCCTGCTCCTCGGGAAGCCTGCGTCTCCCTCTCCCACTTCCCCTGCTTGTGTTCCCTCTCTCGCTGTGTCTCTCTCTGTCAAATAAATAAATAAAAATCTTTAAATTAATTAATTAATTAAAAAAGGAAGATAAGTTTCTAACCTTGGGGCACCTGGCTGGCTTAGTCACTAGAGCATATATACGACCCCTGATTTCAAGGTCATGCGTTTGAGCCCCATGTTGGGTGTAGAGTTTTTTTTTGTTGTTTTTTTTTTAAGATTTTATTTATTTATTTGAGACAGAGAGAATGAGAGACAGCATGAGAGGGACGAGGGTCAGAGGGAGAAGCAGACTCCCTGCCGAGCAGGGAGCCCGATGCGGGACTCGATCCAGGAACTCCAAGATCATGACCTGAGCCGAAGGCAGTCGCTTAACCAACTGAGCCACCCAGGCGCCCTAGAGATTTTTTTTTTTAAGTAAGCTCCACACCCAGCGTGGAGCCTGAACTCACAACCCTGAGATAAAGAGTCAGATGCTCAACCGACTCAGCCTCCCAGGCGCCCCAAGATTACTTTAGATAGATAAATAGATAGAGGAGGGATAATAAATAATAAATTAAAAAAAAAAAAACCTCCCAATCTGACCAACCATTTTGAGTCCTAGGGAAGGAAGATTGTCAGAAATTTGATGCCTTCGGGCGCCTGGGTGGCTCAGTTGGTTAAGCGACTGCCTTCGGCTCAGGTCATGATCCTGGAGTCCCTGGATTGAGTCCCGCATTGGGCTCCCTGCTCAGCGGGGAGCCTGCTTCTCCCTCTGACCCTCCCCCCTCTCATGTGCTCTCTCATTCTCTCTCTCTCAAATAAATAAATAAAATCTTTTAAAAAAAAAAAAGAAATTTGATGCCTTCAGGGGTGCCTGGGTGGCTCAGTCGTTAAGCATCTGCCTTCGGCTCGGGTCATGATCCCGGGGTGCTGCGATTGAGCCCCAGATTGGGCTCTCTGCTCAGCGGGAAGCCTGCTTCTCCCTCTCCCACTCCCCCTGCTTGTGTCCCCTCTCTCTCTGTCTTTCTGTCAAGATAAATAAATAAAAATTCTAAAAAAAAAAAAAAGAAATTTGATCCCTTCAGCCTTGAACTAAGCTGACTGTTTAGCTCTAGTCCGTCTGTTAAGGACTGGCCCTGGAGCCTAATTCCTGGTAGAGTCATTATCATCTCTCTACAGCCTCTGCTCTTCATGGATCTTTTGGATGAAAGAACACTGGTTGCAGTAGAACGGCCCCTGGATGACATCATCGCTCAGCTTCCACCACCCATCAAAAAGAAGAAATTTGGGACCTAAAATAGGGCACTGTCTGTGTCCTTCCTTGAACTGTCTGCCCTGTTTGTTTTCACAAATCATGATAATAAAACGAAATTATTCTTTAGGACTAGTCATTATGAATGTTATCTTCCAAAATAATGGACAGTAACTTCCCTTCATTGACTGCAGTGAATGGAAACTCCAAGGTATTTGTAGTTGGGATAATGTTCCAAGCAGGTACAAATTCATCCAGCTTTGTCAGGGTCCTGTTGTTTAGACCACAGTCTCAGGGGGGATAAAAGATGGTACTTCTCTTCCCTCACACATGCCTGAGGCTTCAGACGGCTGATGACCTTCACTGTCTGCCAGCCTCCTGCCTGCAGCCATTGCAGAGGCCTGGGGACCTGCCCACCACTGCCCTAGAGGGCAGGCGAGCTGTGCTTGTTCACTCAAGATAGCCTCACTACCAATAGTGATCATAAGCCTTGTTTCAAGGAAGAATTTTAACTGCAGTGCTCCGTCTCAAAAACTGATGCCTTTGGCCTCTGGCACTCAGCTCTTTATTTTATTTAAAGGGAAAAAAATCTGGCTGTGGGTTATCAGTCTCATTAACCATCTTTCACCTGATAAATACATATAGTGATATATATAACATGTTATATTTTATGTTATATATATATATATATATGCCAGTTTCAAAGATTAAACACTGGGCAAGGATTTTGTTAACAGTAGGAATGGAGGATAGAGCCAGAAAGCCTGCCATCTATTTTACGTTTTCTGTCTTTTACTTGCTTTGACGTTGTTATTCCCATGGGTGTTATCAGCTGAATAGTTTTAATGTGATCTTTTAAATTAGAAGAACTCTAGTTAACCTGAACCGAGCAGATCGATTTCTTTCCCATCTCAGTGAATGTATTGTGTTGCATGCCTGTGGAAACCCAGTATGTGTGGTTTTGTTTGTTTTGGGGATGCAGAGAAGGATATGAGTTCTGATGACATCATGAGTAAAATGCTGGCAAAAAAATTTTTTGCTAAGATGAACCCATCCTCCAGTCTAGAAAGGGCAAATAAAAAGTGAGAATTTAAGGTAGATACGTGGGAAGAGAATTAACAGAGAGGTAATAAGAGAGAACTTTATAACATAAAGGACAGCCTGTTTCAGGTTTGCTAGGAGGGAACAGGTAAAACAAGGTTTATAGTGGATGCTACTTCTCTGCTTTGCCTGTTAACGTTTCTTTTACGGTAATAAGAGTTGTTTATTTTTTAACAAGAGAAAATCACATCTAATAGCATATATATAGGGAATCCACATAGGCATGGACATTCCTATAATAGGAGTACTTTAAACAACTGCAGCTTTTTGGGCCCTCTGTGTAAAATAATTTTCCTTTCTTCTTACTTGAATAAATTTCCTTAGTGAGGCATATTTTCCCGGTCTGCATTAGTGTGGACTATTACAACTTTTCAGTAGACTGTAAGATCCTTCCCTTCCTAAGAAATGTTTTAGGGCTTCTTTTGCATGGTTGAAACCAAAGTTCAAGTTACTGATCTTCATTGCATATGACCAGAGGGAGGCTAGGATGCCTTAAATATTAACTCGCTTTTCACTGTCTGAAGAGCTACAAAATCAGAGAGTCTTTATTAACTGGATTCTAGTTTAAGACTTGATTTACTTAAACATATTCTGAAACCTTGTGAATTATGGTGTAATTCTGACCGAAAAGGCTCACAGATCATGAGTGAAGAAGTAAAAGTTTTGAAAGTAGAAAGCATTCCTTTGCAGCATTTCCAGCCAGTGATTTGGATTTCCATAAATGGTATGGGAAGTCAGATCTTTGAGCCTTGAAATTCTTCCTAAGTAGAGGAACTTTGAATACAAATGAAGCAGAAACTGATTGGGGCAAGTTAGAGAAATTGGGGGAAGGGAAGGCAAAGCAGTATTAAATGAGAGGAACACTTCAGTGCATGTGTTCCAGGGTGATTTTACTTTTAGGGATCTGGGTAACCTAGAAGCAGCATGTTTGTGGTCCGGGTATTTTGCAGACTATGGCTCCTACCTGGATTCTACAGAAATATTTTGATCTGAGACTGCCTAGGAAAGGTCTTTTTTGCTAACCTGACTCAAATGCTTTAAAAATTCACTTTTCTCATATAGTAGTTGGTAATCTGATCTCTGAATGGATAATGTACCATGTACCCTGGAGATGACAGTAATTTAGAGAGAAACTAAAATCTTGGAATACTGGAAGCAAGAGACCTAGCTTGGTGGGTTTTTAAGCATCAAAACTTTCTTTAAATGGGACATTATTCTGAACCATAATATATGATACAGATAAAAGTGGAGCTGTTCTGACTGTTGCTGGGGTTAGGGATGGAGGAAACAGATTTGTGAAGGAAACTGTGTGCCTCTGGCCTCATTTTTATGCTCATGGAAATGGAGACCAAGAGGGGATGTTATTTTTCCCATGGTCACACAACAGTTCATGAGAGGCCAAGGCGGCATTCTTACATTTGTTTCCCCTACTGTCTCTTGGTTGTAGGGACCCAGTTGTAAATGTGAATAGCAGGCATGATACACCACGGATATTCCATCTCAGGCTGCAACGAAGGTGCTTAAGCATTTCTCGCTCTGGATGAGCACTTGATTTAGCTATAAGACTGTGTTCTGTGGGTAGTCTTGTGTGTAAATCATACAGTGTTGTAATGAACAGCCTAGTACATCATGGGGTAATGCTCCTGTGGGGGTGTTTTCTCCGGGGAGTAGAATTGCTAGTTCATCTTTCACTTTTCGTTGCCCTTTGGATTGGCTGTGTTTCTATCCACGGTGTTTGAAAGTACTCATTTTCTTACACTCTGCTAGTGTAGAGGTAGACTTTAGTTGTAGCCCATCTAATGAAAAAATCTCTCATTTTGTCTGTATTAAAGATATTGCTCAATTTTTTTTTTATGTGTTTTGGCTCTTGAGCTAACTGTAAATTGCATATTCATAACCTCTTTTCCTTTTTTTCCTAATGTGTTGGTTTTTTTCATAGTCCAAGGTATTTTCAGATACAGATCAGCTCTGTCCAATAAACTGTCTGTGGTGGTGGAAATGTTCTGTATCTGTGCTGTACAGTAAGATAGTTACTAGCCACATGTGACCGCAGAGCACTTAAAATGCAGCTCTTGCAACAAAGGAAATGGAACTTTAAATTTTATTTTTATTTAAATAGCTGCATGTGGCTAGTGACTTTCGCATGTGGACAGCAAAGATATGGATATTAAGGCTTAGCTTTATGTCAGTCCTGTCTTTAGGAAGTTACAGGACTTAATACTCAACATACATTTATTAGTGCCTACTATCTGCTGAGCACCAACAACAGGTGAAAGGTGATCTCAGCTCTCAAGAACTTCACAGCCTCGTTGGGAAAAGGAACAAGTAAATCAATGAGGCTACATTAGGGATGAGCACAGATAAGGGGCACCTCACCAGCAGAGTTAGCAGTTGGAATTGGGTGGTAATGATCAAGGGGAAAGGGGGAAGAAAAGCATTCCTAAATCGTTCTCGGTACAAAAGCCAGAAGCAAGAGAGAGCATAACCTATCCCGCTAGTTCCACAACCCTATCTCCAGATACACTCAGATTCTGAGATACTGTGGGTTAGATTTCAACCTATACATTTTGAGGGGACACAGTTCAGCCCGTTAAAGACTCCATGGAAGGGCTTTTGGGGCTTTGTGAGCCCCCAAACTGAATACTTTGCATAAGTGAGCATTTGTCTGAGACGTGCCCACAGCATGCAACGGATTCTCAAAGGGGTCTGATCCCTCCAATGGCCTGTAATTGCATTAACCGACTCAGGAGGAAGTTGAAGCTATGGGACGAAAGGCCTAAAAACACTGTGTGCATCAATAAATATGATTTGGGGTTTAATGCCCTGTGAAAGAAGAGAGGTGAAGCTGACTGCCAGACTCCCAAGTCTTATGGTGAGGCACTGAAAATTCTGTTGGAACTGGTAATGAAGGAAAAGGGATTTTTATTTGGGGACCTTATCTGAATTTCATGGCAAAGTGTGTGATTTCCATGACTGTCAATAAAAAACACTGGTGATTTTCCATAACTAAGTGGATTCAATGAAACTAACCTTCTGCTTAGTATGTCCTTGCTAATATTTTCCTAAAAAGAAAGTCACAGAGCTACAAAACTGTCACCAGCTGCTTCTCATTAGGAATGTGGTTAGCAGATGTGGGTTTTCTAGTCCTAACGCATGAAATAGTTAATCCATTTTTGTGGGTTGCAGATAGTGATTTATCTTGGCGGGGTGAATTTTCAAATGTGCTTGCATCAGCTAAAGGATATATTCACCTTTCCCTCTTTCACTTCATGTTTGTGCTAGAAAGAAAAATACGTTTTAGGATCTTTGTCCTGAAAGGCAATGGAGTACTGCCCTTTGAAAGGGACAATTGATCTCACTGTCTTCTAACTGGGAAAGAGTCACGCATGGATAAATTTTCAAAGTTGGATGTTGGATTGGTTATCTTACAAGCTTCATTCTTCCTTTGGTCTCTTCTTTAGTAGTAATTGAGCAGCTCTTGTTTTTGTTCCTCTGGCATCAGGCCCTCTTTGTGGTGGTGACCTTCAGGCTTGCTAAGGGCTGCAATTTTGCCTGGGGCCCTCCTTCCTTATGAAATTACACAACACTCAAACCTTGGAACAAACCCCAGATCCACTAATTCTTTCCTTTGACGGACTCTTGGCAATACCTACTCCCTTTCAGCCGAAATGTAGCTTTATACAAGATCTGTTTGTCACCGAAATTAATTTGGCCATTTGCCTTTTAAGCCTGGAATCAAATGGTATTACGTCAGACTCATTCCTAGATAAAGTATAGACTCTTAAGCTTGAGACTTTCTACCAAAGGTAGAAAATACCTGCTGCAGGTGAACAGGTAATAATAACAGCAGCAGGTACTTTTTATGGAACTCTTTCAGGGTGGCAGGTACAGTGCTGCTAAACACTTCCCATATGACATCCCAGTTAACCCTCACAGCCATCCTTAGAGGTAGAAGGCATCTGAATTTTTCCGAATAAGAAACTGAGGCTCATGACCTCAGCCCCTTTCCTCTTGTCATATAGTATAGTAAA